TCTGGATCAGTATTCTAATTCTAGGCACATTATAATCAATTAGCAACCCCATGTAAGCTTAGTTCTAACAGTCGCCCAGTTCATTAAAAGCCTACTAATTTAGTTTACTTGGAATAACTTTACTTATTTTCCTTTACTCTTGTGGAATATATTGCTGTTTTACTCTTTGCGTAGGAATACAGAACAAGATCACTGAGTGTTTTCTTAAACTAACACTTATTAATCTCCCAGATATCACCTCTTGTTGAAACTCAAGAGTCAGACATGGCTCTCACCATACTGATGCTTTCTGACTGAGTTCCTGGCTACCCTGAATACAAGAGACCCTCATAAGTAGGCAGGAATATCATCGCCCTTATTCAGCCTGAAGAAGTTATAGAAGATGAATCTTTGTCCCTCTGCAACCCTTAGGATTAAGGGTTCTCTTATAAAAGAAAGCACAGAAATGTCAGAGGTTTGTGAACCAAAACAACTCCATCTTAAATAGGAGCTGGGTAAAAGAAGGCTGAAATCTGGGCTGCATTCCCAGACAGTTAAGGCATTCTAAGCCACAGGATGAGATCGGAAGTCAGCACAAAATACAGGTCATAAATACCTTGCTGATAAAACAGGTTGCAGTAAAGTAGCCAGCCAAAACCCACCAAAACCAAAATGGCAATGAGAGTGACCTCTGGTCCTCCTCACTGCTGCACTCCCACCAGTGCCATGACAGTTTACAAATGCCATGGCAGTGTCAGGAAGTTCCCTGTACGGTCTAAAAAAGGGAGGTATGAATAATCTACCCCTTTTTTAGCATATCATCAAAAAACAATTATAAAAATGAGCAACCAGCAGTCCTTGGGGATGCTTTGTCTACAGAGTAGCCATTTTTTATTCCTTTACTTTCTTAATAAACTTGCATTCATTTTACAAAAAGAAAATAATATTAAGATAAAGGCATATATGAAGACTCCAATCTAGTTATCACACAGGAGTTCTATGTAATAGAACAAGAGTCATTCATCAACAGACTCAACATTAAGCTGTCCTAAAATCCCAGAGGGTTTATAACAATAATGTAGTAAAATTGCTAACTATTAATTGATTTTCAGTTTTCCTTTTTTTCCTCAATGACAGCCCTATGCGGGGGTTGGGTTGCAATGTGCCCATCTATCAAAACTATATTTCTCAATTTTATTTGGAAATAGGAACAGCTAAGTAGGCATATAAGGGAAACATTGGGTGGTGTTCTTGAGCAAGTGCCTTTAAAAGAAGCAATCTTCTCATGTGAAAGGTTCCTTTTGCCTTTCTCCTCTTCCTTCAGTCTGGAATACAGATATAATAGTTAGCACTCCAGCAGCCTCCTTGTGAATATCAGGACACAGCTGATACTTTCAGAATGGCAGAGCAGTGAACTGGAAGAGCCTTGGGCACTGATAAACCACAATAATATACCAAGATTTATTGCATAACAAACCACTCCTAAAACTTAGATTAAAACAAATTCACTTGTTTAGCTTCACTTCTGCATTTTGAAAGTTTGGGCTGGGCTAAACTAGATGATTTTTTCCAACCTGGGCTAGTGTTGATTGATTCTGTATGCCTTCACTCGTAGGTCTTTAGTCAGCTAGCAGGTCAGCCGAGGTTAGCAAGTTTCTGATGGCCTCAGTTGTGATAGCTAGAAGAATAGAAGCCTTTCTGCTTATGGTCTCTCTCTAGCAAACAGCAGAGTCCCAAGAGAAGAGGTATGCAAAGTCTTTGAGACTCACACTTGGGACTTGCCTATTGTCACTTTTGTCACACACTGTTCGTCACAAGGCCACTCTGGATTGTAGGTTGAAGAAATAGACCTCTGATATGATTTGGTTGTGTCCGCACCCAAATCTCATCTTGAATTGTAGCTCCCATAATTCCCACATGTTGTGGGAGGAACCCAGTGAGAGATAATTGAATTATGGGATCAGTTTCCCCCCTACTCTTCTCATGGTAGTGAATGAGTCTCACCAGATCTGATGACTTTATAAGGGGTTTCCCCTTCTGCTTGGCTCTCATGCTTTCTTTGCCTGCTGCCATGTAAGACATGACCTACCTCCTCCTTCTCCTTCTACCGTGATTGTGAGGCCTCCCCAGTCATGTGAAACTGTGAGTCAATTAAACCTCTTTCCTTTATAAATTACCCACTCTTGGGTATGACTTTATTAGCAGCATGAGAATGGACTAATACAACCTCTCCCTTAATGAGAAGAGTTGTAACAAGTCATGACCAATTTTGCAATCTACCACACATACCAACCTTGAACTAACTAAAATCTGTGCTCCTTAATACTTAGAGAATAAATCCCTTGTCTACTTTATGTCATGATTTTCTTTGTACTTTATCAGCAGAGTTAGCATAATTCCTACCTACCTGATACAAACACTGTAAGAAGCAGTCAGACATTTGCTCTTTTTTAAAGGACAGAATGGTAGCCTATTGACCCATGAAATTAGCCTGGACTGCCTTGAAGGAATGTTTGATTCCAGGCTGAAAATAGATTTACATTCAGGAGTATACACAGAGAAGGCAAAACAAGAAATTTTATCACTTGATGTGCTGCAATTCCAAGAAAGAAACGAATACTAATCTTGTATATACACTCCACCACCACTTATACCACCACCATCACCATCACCTCTATCAACAGCACCACAGGTGACACTTAGTAGAGAAAAAAAATATGACTTCTTCTGTGGAATAGATTGATAGTCTTTGTATTGTATCCCTAAGTCAGAATTCAGGCAAGGGAGTAATGGGACAATCATGTAAGGGTAATTTGAAGAGAATTTAATTAAAAAAAAAAACTAATTTAAAAGATCTGGGCAGCAGGGGGGAAACAATGGTTCATGCTGTACTTTGGGCCCTGGGACTTGAAAGAAAGGTATTTCATGTATTAATCCATTCTTACTTTGCAATGAAGAAATACCCGAGACTGGGTAATTTATAAAGGAAAGAGGTTTAATTGACTCACAGTTCTGCAGGGCTGGGAGGCCTCAGGAAACTTACAATCATGGCAGAAGGCACCTCTTCACAGGGCAGCAGGAGAGAGAATGAGTGCTGAATGAAGGAGAAAGCCCTTATAAAACCATCAGATCTCATGAGAATTAACTCACCATCATGAGAACAGCATGGAGAAACCACCCCCATGATTCACTTGTGTTCACCTGATCCTGCTGTTGACACATGGGGATTATTACAATTCCAGATGAGATTTGGGTGGGGACACAGAGCCAAACCATATCACTTCACTACCAGCTTTAGACCTGAAGAGATTAAGGGAGCTGGCAGCTATCTGAACCCAAAGGCAGGTAGAAGTCTGGGTAGAGAGGACCTTCCTTTAGGAGATGCAACCAATCCATGGTGACTCTACAGGCAAGTTTCTAGGCAAATCAGTGCCTTAATTACCCCCTTGTCTCTCTACCATCACCTGCTAGTGCTCCCTGATAGCCAATGCAATAGAAGTCAGAGGACAGAGAAGCTGGTTGGTGTAGTCTATACAGGTCAGTGTCTGAGAACAGGATGGAGACATGGAGAGAGGTTCTGGAAAGGTGATCAGAAGACATCTATGGGGTAAAAAAAAGAGAGAGAGATATCATCTCTAACCAAAGGAGTTGCAAAAAAGAGTGTAGCTGTTTTTGCAAACACCCAGTGGGCCTCATATTGAAATAACTACTATTTCTTATGTCCTTGTTAACATTTTATTATTACTTCTATTAGTCTGCTAGGACTGCCACAACAAAATACCACAGACTGGATGACTTAAACAAAATGCACTGTTGTACAGTTCTAGAGGTGGAAAGTCCTCAGTCAGGGTGTCAGCAGAATTGGCTTCTCCTGAGGCCTCTGTCCCTGTCTTGCAGATGGCTGCCTTCTTGCTGTGTCCTCACCTGGTCTTTCCTCTGTGGTCACATCCTACATATCTCTTTCCCTTCTTACAAGGACCCCACTGCTATTGGATTAGAGTCTCACTCTAATGACCTCATTTAACTTCACTACCTTAAAGGCCCGGTCTCCAAATACAGTCACATTGAGATGAGAGCTTCAACCTATAAATGTTGAGGACACCATTGAATCTGTAACATTACTCTATGTCCTCAATTGCTGTTTCATTCTGATCAAAAGGGTTCCTTTCTGAAGCTTTTAAACTGTAAGCTCTCCCAAACTGCTGTGGCTAGTTAATGCAATAAGAAGAGGCTGTTTATGAAGGAGCAAGAAATATATGAAATTCCAAATAGTAAATTCATTTCAAATATCCTGTCAAAATTTAAACCCAAAACTCTTTTAAGAATTCAATTCTTGGCTGTGCACAGTGGCTCATGTCTGTAAACCCAACACTTTGGGAGGCCGAGGTGGGCAGATCACAAGGTCAGGAGTTCAAGACCAGCCTGGCCAATATCGTGAAACCCTGTCTCTACTAAAAATACAGAAATGAGCCAGGTTTGGTGGCAGGTGCCTGTAGTCCCAGCTATTCAGGAGGTTGAAGCAGGAGAATCGCTTGGACCCAGGGGGCAGAGGTTGCAGTGAGCCGAGATTGTGCCACCACATTCCAGCCTGGATGACAGAGCGATTCCATCTCAAAAAAAAAAAAAAGGAAAAAATTCTGCTTGACATTTGGTACCAGGAAAATTTTCTCACTAGGATGTCTTGGAATTTTCCTTAGAACTCTGTGGGCTTGAATGATTTGACATTATCTAAAGGAGATCATGTTAATGGTACTGCTATACACACACACACACACACACACACACACACACACACACACACACACACTCCATCTTAAAACATTGCATGGTAATTAAATGCTGTTTTCAAACTAGCATCTGTAACTCTAAAACTATAGAAAATCAGATTTTTTTGTTTAACACAAGAGCCCCAAATTCTCTTTTCTTCCTGTGGATAAAAGAAAATGTGATAGATGGAAGACAATGATGAATTACTTATCTTAAAATATTGAGTATAGAAGATTTTGTATCTTCCCTTGCAGATGTGTGACATGGATAAAAAACACCCCATGGTGGAAAGAGGTGTCAGAAAGCATCTCGACAATAAGAGAAAAATGAGGAATCCAAAATGGTGCCCGGGCATTGGTAGGTGGTGAAACCAGCCATCTGGCCCTGTGCCCTGTCCTCAGAAGTGCCCCTGCAACCACAGCAGGTACATTTCCTTTTAGTGTCCTGGGAACCAAGTATTTTCTGTTGGTGGCATCTCTCTTGCAGAAGGTGAATCTTTGCCTGGCTTACCTGAGATTTAGACCATCCTACTTCCAGCCTCCACTAACACAAACTAGGTTGGTTCACAACAGGCTGCCATAAAATTTCTCATTTTTTCTGTGTTTGAAATGTGTAACTTTTGCTCTACTTCGTAAGTAAGACTTCTTGAGTTGACAGCTCTAAAACTTCCACTAAAAAATAATGGATTTGTCAAACTTTTGAGCAAAGTATAGATGACACTTCTAAAGATTTGAATGTAATTTCTTCTTTAAGGGTACTCACAGAAAGGGAAAATATGATCTTACTACATTGACCATGAAAATTCTGAGGTTCATATAGAGTCTAAAGTCATTAGAAAATGTAAATCTCAAGAAAATCCCTAATACTAAATATATGTGTACATATTGCCCATAGTTGTGTAGTACGTATTCATGTATCATATATGCATAGGTACTTGTATGTTCTTATTCATACATTAAAATATGTATGAATGTATAAGATGAAGCTGGAAATTATTGACACATATTGTAACTAAATAAAGCAAACCTTTAACAACCTAAACATGCCAATATAAACTCTCAGAATTTCCAGAAAAGTTCAATTTTAATTAACCCTATCTCCTCTCATAGCCAAATTATGGTGATCTTCATGGATATTACCGATGCTTCTTCTTCCAAAGAAGGTTGTTATTTAAACTCACAAATTGGTATAAATACATTCAGTACATTAGTAATCAAAGTACCCAATACAAAAATGATTTTCTACTTGGAAACTGTGCCTTCCAAATGGAAAAATTAAAGAACTCAATTGAGAGAGAAAATATTTATTCAAAAAGTAAATATTACAAATGCACGAAATTGCCAAATATACTGACTGTAATTTTGATGAACTGGAAATCTTCAGCAAATAAAAGTTTGGGTTTCTCCCCACATAAAATATTACTGGCTAGATTGTTGAGACTTTTGTTATTACCCAGGGCCCTCCAGTGGCAGGACACTTGTGTGTTGCATAATGTTGGCTTATAATTATTTTAAGCATTATGGAAGTATATCAAGGACCACATTCACTCCTTCTATTAAATCATTCATTTAAAAGATATTTGTTGCACACCTATTACATAAAATGTCCTTGGGTCTCAGCACTTTAAAAAAGCAATGATCCTTGCCCTTGTGGAGCTTACAATCAAGATACAAAAAAAAAATGTAAGTGAGTGATATAGTACATTAGATGATAATAAGAACTATGGAAAAGAGAAAAAGAAATGCAGCATTGGAAGACTTCAACAAAACTTTGTTTTGTTTCCATCTAGGTTTGAATTTGTCTTAGGTTGATAATGGTTTTCTTAAAGTAATTTTCAGTTGGCCTGGTATGGTGGCTCACGCCTATAATCCCAGCACTCTGGAAGGCCAAGGCGGGTGAATTGCATGAGTCAAGAATTCGAGACCAGCCTGGCCAACATGATGAAACCTCATCTCTACTAAAAATACAAATATTATACATAAATAGAATATGGAAAAAAATACAAAAATTAGCCAGGCGTGGTGGCGGGTGCCTGTAAATCCCAGCTATTCAGAAGGCTGAGGCACGAAAACCTCTTGAACCCAGGAGGCAGAGGTTGCAGTGAGCCAAGATTGTGCCATTGCACTACAGTCCAGGCAACAGAGAAAAAACTCTGTCTCAAAAAAACAAAAAAAAAAAAAGTAATTTTCAGTTTTAGCCATCTTTAAAGAAAATTAAGGGACAACAAATTTGGAAACAGGACTAATGCACTTATAATCCATTCTCTGAAGAAGCTGATCTAATCACTTTTTTCGATGGATAATCTATCACTACTCCTGGCCTGCCACATCGCCCATTGCTATTTTGTCACAGGGCCCTTGCTAGTTGTCTTTCATCCATTAAAGAAAGTTAATTGCCCACAATGTGTGGAGCTGTGAGCAAATGCCCCAGCAGAAGAACAACAATCCTCCATCCCTTCTCATCTCTCTGGAGGCATCCAAAGTCTCAACTGCAGGGTGAAGAAGAACCATTGTCATGGGCTTATTAAAAAGGGTTCCTGCTGATAAGTAGGGGCATGCATTTTTTCTGATACTACATTTTGTCCGTTAGAGTTCAAGAACCTAAGAACGACATAGTCTTTCATTCCATATTTCACGATACAGAGTGACATATAGGTTTCTACATGTTAATCTTCTTTCACGTGCCAGCCAATGCTGAAGGGATATTAGTCCACCTGAATTGAAATGAGTAACAATTAAGCATCAAGTGGTAAAAATCTCCCTGATGGTTCTGCGACATTGCAATAACCTTACCTGATGCACGATTGTTTTCCCACATCACTGTGGGAAATATGCAGAGGAGGTACCTATCCTTCAGTTAGCAACTCCCTAGATTATTATGTTTTGCCAGTCTTAGAAACTGTGTCTTGGGTTGTACTTAGAAAGTAACATTTGCAAGGTATTTTGGAAAAGAAAAATGTAGCTGTACAAAAGAAGTTTTGATAGGTATGGTACCTAGTGTTAAACCAGGAGATGTACATTACTTAAGGTATTATGATAATATTGAGAATAAAAAACTTGTTGGATATAAGAGCCATGTTGATAAATGATATTTAATGTATACCTTTTAAAATATTGCAAATACCTCTTATAATATGGTAAACAAAAAAAGTATGAATGTGTATTTAGAAAAAAAAGATGTAAAAATCATAAGATGTATCTTTCAGAAGCAACTTTGAAATACTGTAATACTGAAAGAGGTATCAAAAGGGATAACTATATAAAAACATTAAACCTCCTTATTATTTTCTTAAAGACATTAATTCCGAAATTCCTTTAAGTGAAAACTTCCTTTAACCCTGTATTTCTGATTACATTTTTAATCAATTGAAATATTATATATGGCCATGAATATGCAAGACTTCATAGTTAGCCATACTAGTGTAGGGAATTCTGAAAATATGAGGTAAGGTGTTTAGATACAAGAGAGGCACAGAATTCCAAAGAATAACAATATTAAGAAGAAATTTGTTAGATAAAGTTGAAAGCTGGAAATATTCACCAGCATTAAATTCTTTTCAGAGTTTGACAACCAAGCAAGCATTCTTTTCAGGTTGTCTAAAAAATTCCTCTTGAATTCAGATGGATTTCAAAGGTTCAGTGTTATTTCCCATGAAATATAAAAATAGTGCATGCTAATTGACTGTCATGGTACCTGTATTAAAATTGGCATCTGTAACTTCAAGAAGTTTTGATTGGCAGAAGATCCCAGACACATTCCATCTCCTCTTTATTTGGCCAAAGGAAAAGTTAACAAGTCAATGGCCCTGAAAGGTAATGTGTAGAGGATTTGTATCGCCAATTCCAAACCAGTCACTCTTCATGCAGTAACAAGGCTAGCTAATACTCCATATTTATGCTTCAGATAAAGCAACAGCTAGACTCTCGTGTTCTTATCTTTAAAATGGACTTCATCACACTTCACATTCCTGAAGGCATAGGCTGGGGTCAGGACTTCCCTAAGATGCTGTAAAGCTCCAAGACCTTTGATGTCACACTTTAAAAACTTCAGAATACTCCCATTGACCAGAAAAGTCAAAATACTGCTGTGCCTGGAAAGCAATATTCCTGATTACCTGGCTGCCCACTGAACCACCCCTCAGCTGATCCATTCTCTCATTACATCCCAAGGTGAGTCTCTAAACCACCAGAAAGCTTTCTCATTTTTTTGAAACCATACTCATTATTTTATCATCTAAAATGGGCTTCCTCTCTAGCTATCCTAATTCTACCCAGCTGTGATAAGCAGAAGAAGGACCCCAATCTCTGGAGCCTGTAACTATTTTACCTGACACAGCAAAAGGGCCTTTTCAGATACGGTTGTTAACTATCTTGAGATGGGAAGATTTTCCTGGATTAACAGGGTGGGTGCCATCTAATCACAATGATCCCTATTAGTGAAAGAGGGAAACGAGAAGCAGTCAGAGAAGGACATTTATTAGATGGAAGCAGAGGACAAAGCTATGTGATTGTTGGCCTTAGTTTGGGAAGATGAGCCAGGAATACTGCAGCCTCCAGAAGGAACCAGATTCTCCCCTAGAGTCTCAGAAGAAATGCAGCCCTGCTAACATCAATACATTAGCTGATTTTGGACTTCTGATCCCCAGAACTTTAAGAATAAATCTGTATTTTAAATCACTAAGTTTGTGGTCATTTGTTACAGCAGCAATAGGAAACTGATACACCAGCCTTCAAGGTTCAAGTCTCACTTCCTTGGAAGTTTGACCAAAGCACTCTAACTCACTCTGCTTTTTCTTAAAAATTACTTTCTATATCTACTTGAGTTTTAGCATTGTACCTCCAGTGTAATACATCTGGTAGCAGTAAAATTGCATTTTGATATATAAGTGAGAAGCTTGTGCTGAAAATCCACATAATGCTGGTAACAGGCAATCCATAAAAATGGATAAAAGCACTTAGGGTTTGTAACATAAATAGGAAGAAAGACGTGTCTGTTTCTTTTTATCCTGTTTAGGAATACTCTGCCTACTCTAAAGTCAAATGATAGTTTGCTATGTTTTTTTCTAGACAATTTTTGATTTAGTTTATAATTAATTTTATATATTATACGAGGCAGGAATTGAAGTTCATTATTTTCCCACATAGATAACCACTGCTCCAGAGCTTTTTGTTGAAAGGTTCCTTTTCCACATTGAATTAATTTTGTGTCTTCGTCAAAAAAGGAACTTAAATATGCATCAATTTATTTCTGAAGTCTCTATTATGTTTCATTAATAGACATGTCTGTCTTTAAACCAGCATCACACTGTCTTGATTATTATATCTTCACAGTAAGTGTTAAATCAGGTAGGGTAAGTACTCCAAATTTCTTCTTTGTTTTCATTCTTCCTGTTCTTTTGTATGTGTTTCTAAATAAACTTTAGAAACAGTTTGTTAAATTTTGTAAAACAAAATGGACACCCTACTGGGATTTTTAAAATAGAATTACATTGCATTTATAGATCAATTAAGGATAATTATATTTTTATAATATCATATATAATCATGTCTCTCCAGTTTTTTCCCAACGGTATATTTAAAAAGTTTTTGGAATACACCAGGTGCAGTGGCTCACACCTGTAATCCCAGCAGTTTGGAAGCCCTAGGCAAATAAATTGCCCAGCTCAGGAGTTAAAGACCAGCCTGAGCAACATGATAAAACCCTGTCTCTACCAAAAAGATACAAAAAAATTAGCTGGGTGTGGTGGCACATGACTGTGGTCCCAGCTACTTGGAAGGCTGAGGTGGGAGGATCACTTGAGCCTGTGAGGCAGAGATTTCAGTGAGCCAAGATTCCATCACTGCTCTCCAACCTGGATGACAGAGTGAAAAAAAAAAATCTATCTCTAAAAATAAAAAGTAAAAATAAAAATATTTTTAAAATATACAGAAAGGTTGAAAGAGTTTTTTCAATCATGAATGTACACTGAGTTTTCTCATACTTTCATTGCACATATAAACATGATTATGTTTTTCTTTCCTTTCATTATTAGTGTGGT